TATATATATATATATATATATATATATATATATATATATATATATATATATATTATATTAAATCTATTCTGACATAAGCTTCAGATTTGAAATATCAGTATTTTGTTTTGGAAAATGTTTTGTTTTGTAGAACTGAAGAGGAGCCAATGGAGGAAGAAGCTCCGATGTAAAAGAAATAAACATGGTTATTCTTCGACCACCAAGAGCTGTGTTCAGCATTGAAAGGCTCCTCATCCGTCAGTCAGTCTGGATTCCTAGTATGTTTCTTTGTGTCACTACTGTTGGACCTGGTCGTACCCCTCGAATGACACCAGGAGCTGAAAAAAGTGGCCTTTGAAGTGGAAGCAGACAGTAAAAGATGAGCTCACGCCAGTTAGTTGCACACGGTTCACATTCTATTCGTTGGACACAAGCGCCAGTTATCCATCCCACAGAGTCACCCTCCAGCACCGGTGATTTTTAAAAATTTTTAAACACTAAACTTGTACATTTTGACTGCATGTCTGAACCAAACTGATACATACAGCAGTCTTCTACTTATGTTTTTTTTTTGTGAATTATCAAAAGCACCTGAGCTGTTATTAACTCTGCACTAAAGGATGGATTCCAGCTTTTTTAAGGCATCCAGCTGAGAGGGAAAAACACGTTGAGTACCCTTCATATTTTCCGAGGTAAAGTTACACTTTTTCCAAGGATTCAGACAGTTTCTGAGTGTTTGTGCCTTTTTTTTGTTTCGTTTTGAAATGAATGGATTTTCTGTTGAGCTCCACTTATAGAGCTTTGCCTTAAGTATGGATTTTGGATCAAGAAATCTTCTCAGCATCTACTTAGAAGTTTCTATCCTGGCAAGACATGAGCTGCCTGCATGTTTCTGGCACATAGACTCGAAGGCATTGGCATGTTTACCTGTATTATTCTGCAAGCAGTCTACTATCTTTCCCTCCATTTCCTTAAGTATTCTTTCCTTTTTGTAAGATCATGGAAGGTAGTTCTCAGACAAAAGTAGGAGACAAGTTTATGAATGCTAAAAAGAAGAGGCTATTATGTTTTGTGGATAAAACTATCTACTTTTTTTTGCCATTATCAACATAAAGAGTGGTAAAGGAATGGGTTGATACAGTAGAATTTCTGCCGCATTTCTAAGATTATTAAAGAGTGTAATTAGCCTCATCTGGGCCAATTTGTTTTAACCGTCCCACCTGGGATTCTCCAGAGGGGTTTTCTGGAGCTGTTGTTACTCTCACAGCTGGTTAAGCATCTTTAAGTCCTCGTTAGAAACACATCTGCTACCCAAATGTCAGGTGCTGTGGAGCAGGTAGCCGAACATCCCCAACTGGTCATGTATAATGAAATGCAAGCTGTTCTTCATCAATATGAAGCAGTGCACACACCAACTATGATTGTACATTTATAACCAATTTAAGATTTATTGGATCAGATTTTATGTTTCCTGTCCTCCATTTTTTCGTGTCTTTAAACATCAGAGGTTTGTTTGTAAGGCTACATTATCCACTAGGGGGCAAACTGCCTAAAGTGGCCTCAGGATTTTATTTTGAAAGCGAGAAGCTTCAGACTCAATGCCACTCTGAGATATAAGCCGAAACCATTTCTGGTTTATGCATAACGGAAAAAAGCGCTGTTTAATTTGTACTGTTGATTGCAGTCTGCAAGTTTACCACTAGATGGCAATAGAACAGTCAACTAGTGCTTATATCTTTCTAAATCCAGGATTATGTTTAGTTTGTGCATTATGGACACGGGGATATGTTTAAATTGTTATACTTTAACAACATTTTAATTTAAAAACTGAATATAAAAAACATGCTTGATGCAACATCTTTTTTTTCAACGTTTCAACCATATATCTATTATTTTCCTCAAGTATGGGAAAACTACCTTCTGACTTTTTCCTCTCTGCAATTCACACAATTGTGGTTTTGTGAGCATAAAGCACTGATCTGAGGAGTCTTACCACAAACCATAATATCATTAATTCCTGTGCTGTTTAGTGACATTTTATGACTTTTTGTGGAAACCATTCACACTTTTTCTCTGTTACTTTGTAAAGCCGACCCACTTCAGAAGAGGTGAGCATTCAGACTGTTTCATAATGGACATTATATGCCAACATTTTTGGGTTTGTGGATTATTTTTGGGGGGAGGGCAGTCAGGTTGATGAAAACGTTTCTACTTTGTAAATTGATGGATAATTGTGTATTTAGTGTCTGTTTATAGTAGATTTATATATAAGAGAAACTATATTATATATATTATATATATATATATATATATATATATATACATATTGAATACTTTGATCTTTACAAAACAACACTGATGGTTTCTATCGGTCTTATGTGCTGTCGGCCCTTTTTAATACTGTTACTGAAGGCACCTTGACTGTCCTATCAATGTTTATAGCATTTTCTGTCACTTATTTATCTGTACCACAAACACTGTTACAGTAAGCCCCACATATTTGTGCACATATCTGTACCATTCAATGTGCTGGATGCTGTGTTTCTCTTTAGTTTTAGAACAGCAATCTGTCTGGGGGGGTGGACCATTAGTGAGAAATTTGACTTTCCTTATTTTCCCTGTTTCTCAATCTTTGAACCATTGCTCTTTAGAGAGGTATAGACAGTCAGTTGTTCCTGCAGACTCTAAAACTGAGAAATTGATGATGGAGTTCTTTGTTAATAACCATAATAACTATAATATACACAGTTGCAAAAATGTCACCTATTTAAATTAACATATTCAAATTAATTCCTCTTCAGTTTAAGCCTTTTTTTTTTTTTACCTCTTTTCCAAACAAAAGTCATTCGGGGAGTTCCACCTGCAGGATAGATACTAACTGCTCATGTTCTCTTTACATAACCCCAATTAAAGAATCTAAGGCTGACCTTTTAAGGTTAATAAGATCATCCTCATTAGTTCCTTAAAATAATAAGGTGTAATCAGTTATCTGCTCCTCAGTTTTTCTTTGCAATTAAATCAAGTTTTCCACATTTCCAGACATTATTCTCAGTTTTAATTTTTTTTTTTTAACCAATTTAAAATACCAAAGCAGATATTTTTTAATCTCACTATCAAAAAACTGTTAGATATTGAATTTTTTTTTTTGGGGGGGGGGGTTGTTTTGTTTTTTCAAGTTACCTGCTGATTGGTTTAACCTTAACAAAATTTTAGCACATATGTTTGGACTGAAAATATTTTATCTCCAGTGAATTAAAAAAAAAATCCGGAAAATAAGTTGCATGCCCTGAAAAGAAGAAAGCAAGTTTTTGTTTTTTAATCTAACCTCAGATTAAGAGACTTTACCTAAACCTATTAAATGGGTAATTTTATTACAAAGAGTGCAAGTAATTCACAGTTTTAGATGTAAATATTTGTTATAAACTAAGAGCAGAACTGTGAAAACATGCTGTAGGGAGTTGGTAGACATCCACTTTTGTATTTCTATTCCCTTTTTACATATATA